GTCAGGGAGCATCTGCTGAGAGTGCTGTTGCTGCTGAACTAGTGCACCACACCAACTAAACTAGCAGGCAAATACTACAAATTAACAATGGTAATTTTTTGTCAGCAGATAGTAATTGCAGTAGTGGACAGCATATAGCAGACAGGCCAACAAAGAAAAACAAAGTTGTGACAAAGATGTAATCACCAGTGCAATGCAGTGAAGTGAACGCAGAGAAGGCGAGGCTGATCAGTGTTCAGTGCACTGATCAGCAAAGAACAGTGTCCAAAGGAAAAACTGTGTGTGTGCCCTGCCGAAAACATGGGACACACTCACCGCTTGCACGCGGGTAAGTGCCTTGTTTGCTTACCGGCAAATGAGGGAGAAAGAGAGGAAAAAAAGATTCATTGCAGTGTTCAGCAGTCTCCTTCTCACACTCATCACATTTCCCTTCTCCTTCTTCTTCGTTGCCATTCTCATTCATTTGTGCTATTGCATTGCTTGTCCTATTGACACAGTGCACCAGTCTGTGCTAGTCAGAATAGCTGCCGATGCCGCTGTTGTCGCTGCTGCAGTTCGACTTCAATTGCCTCTCTTTTTCGTCTCTCCTGGCACCTCTAATGAATTCCTCTTTTCAGTCCCCTTTCTCATCATCAAAGTGCCTGCACTCAGTGCCTACACCGACAGTAAGAAAAAGAGAGTGAAAAGAGTGGAAGGAATAAAATGGGCGCATAAACTAGTGCACCATTACCGGCGAACAAACTACTACTGTCAAACAACTGCTGATCAAAAGAGAGAGCCGCCACCGACAGAGCAAAACTGTCGTCGCCGATGCAACAGCTACACCGAAAATTTGAAAGAAAAAGAAAAGCAAATGAGAAAGAAAAAGAAAAAAGCTGAAATACTACTGCTGAAAAGCAATTGTTTGCAACGAGGGGCAGAGAAAAAAGCGCGGCAAAGAAGACAAGTCACGAAGAAAAGGAGGGAGGGAGGAAAAGGTGGAAAAGCGATACAATCTGGTAAAGGGAAAGACACCGTCGGTACACACCGGAAGGGACTGACAAAACAGAAAAGACAGTAAAAAAGAGGGAGAGAAAGAGAGCCAAGTATCAGTTTGTGTGTATGTGCGTTCGTGTGTGTATTGACAGACAGAAGTGCCCGCCAAGCGAACGCAAACCCTGCAAACATTCAGCAGGGAAAAAGAGAGAGAGCATGTGTTTTTGCATGTAAATATACATTTCGCAGACAGACAAATACACAGAGTGTGCACTGAACAGTGTGCTTGGTAGTTTAGGTAGTCGTAGTACAGTATTTTTTAAACTCTGCACTGAGCTTTCTTGCTATCTTTTTTCTTTTCTTCATATTTTTCTGTCCCTTCTGTCGCCGCCGCCGCCTTTTTCAACGGTAAATTGAAGACGAGCAAGCACTGAGAGTGAGAGAGAAAAAGCAACTCTCCGACCGGAAACTAATAAACCACTTTGCCTCTTCTCATTTTTTCGTACCCGTACCACACTATTCATTTGAAATCGATCTCTTTTTTTAGCGCTCTTCTCTTTTGGCTGACTCGCGTTCAAACTGAGGACCGAGAGAGGAATAGAACAGGGAAAAAGATTGCCCACCGGCAATTTGCAGGCGCATTGATTACTTTGGCTGTATGACTGCTGCCACAGTGGTTGAAAATGCACCGAATCGACCAGTTATTGAAAAGAGGGAGAAAATCATATTAAGCAGCGGCAGCTATGTTTTTGTAAGCCTTGGCACCATCACCATAATAGTGCCACTAAACTACGGTTAGCAACACTGCTGAGGCTAAGAAAGTAGAAATATGAAAAAAATGAAAAACTATCTATTTTACAAAAACATTTCAAAAAAATATCACGCGCTTTAGAAAAGCAAACAAGCAAAGTCAAGAGATATCAAGTGAAGAGGAGAGTAAGAGCGCAAGAAACACTCTAATCAACAAGGGCAAAACGTCAATATTGAAATAACGTCGATGGTGGTGAAAGTGGGGCAATATTGAAAGTGGCGCATTTCAATCCGAGAATAAGTTAAAGTGGGCGAAAAGTTTAAAGTTTGATCTGTTAATCAGTTTTCGCCTGATGACAAAGTTTTGCAGCAGAGCAAACTTTTTTCTGTTGACCACTTTACGTTCCCTACTGACTGACTGACTGAACCACCACAGCAAAGGTGAAAACTAAAAAAAGAGATTGAAAATACCAATCATGACCGATCAAATGACAAAAGTATGCTCTGTGTCAGAATCTTAAGGATGAATTATTCATTGAAAACTTGAGCACCGCAACAGCAGCAGCGCAGCAGTGCACAGTGCAAATCACAACACCGAAACAGCAAAGAGGCAGGGAGTGTCCGTTGTGAAATCAATAAATGGCCGGGCAATCATCGAAAGAGAGTGCGGGAAAAAAGAAATGTCATCGATTGAATGGGGCACACAGAGAGAGCATGGCCTACAGAGTTCCTACTAGTGCAGATAAGCGGCAGTGGTAGTAGTCGTAAACAAGAATGAATACAAGAAAACAGGCAGTTTGCGCGAGTCAGCCAGTGGCGGAAGAAAGCGGCGGCCTCTCCTGCTGTCGTGCAGTTTTGTTGATCAGTAAAGGCCAATGGGGAAGACAACATATCCGCCCAAACATGTCGACACTGAAAAAAAGAAGAAAAAGAAACAAAAACAAAAATGCCACGACAATGGCAACACCAGAGAACAGTATTCACCAGAGATAGAGAGAGGGCCACCAGCGAATTCTGCCGACTAATCACACCACCACCACTCTAGTAGTCTATTCTGTCATAATCAATATTTTTGGGCAAACAAAAAAGAGAAAAGGCAAAATCGCCAAAGTGCCAAAGTTGCCAAAGAACAAAGGCAGGGGAGAAAGAAAGTAAGAGGCAGAAGAAATCAATTCATTCAATGGTGATCAGAAGAGGGAAAAAGTCCAAAGAGAGTCCCTTCCGCTGATTGACCCAATCAGTGCTTTTTCTACTCCTTTTTTACCGCTCTTCTTTTTTGGCTACAAATCAACAGTGATCACCAGCAGCCTACGTGTGTGTGTGTGTGTGTGTGTGTGTGTGCTGTAGTGCAACTTATCTTGCAGACAGCCAAAGAAATGAGTGCTTGGCAAAGTCTGCAGTGTAATATAAGCTGTTGATGAAAGGTTTTGGTGGTGGAAAAGAGGAAGGAGGAAGCAGAGGAATAAGAAAAAGAAAATGAATGAAAAGGACTAGGAAAGGAAAGGAAAGAGGAAGGGAACTCATTCACACACACACACGAGCAAACTGTCCACTGGCAAATTGGTCTCATTACTGCACTGGCCATCTGGACACGATCGTCAGCAGCCATCGTTAGCAGCGAGCAGAGACATCGTAAAATGTCAGCTAGCAAGTCAGAGCAGGAGAAGGAATTAAATTGCTGACCTGAATTTACTGCAAATAGAAATGGCGCTTGGACACGACATCACACACGTCTGCTCGGGAAAAGAAGGAAAAGTGTTCGATAGTGTCTGTGTGTGTGTGTGTGCAAATGCTAATGGCAACGTCGACTCCGACATTTCCATCGACTGAACACATTCTCACCCTCAAACCGTGTTATGCAGATGAGAAATGGCGAAAGGCGAGATCTTGTCGATAATGAAGATCAGCTATCGATTACGAGGCGGGAGGAGAAACCAAAAGAACATTATGAAGCAACAAGAGCGCCCAAGCACACACACACACACACAAGGATCACTGTCTGTCTGTCGCCTAAAGTCATCAGAAGAGGATTGCCAAGTTTTTTAAACTGAACCAAGGGCATAATCGATTTTAGTCTGTGCAACAATGCAGTCAATCTGACCTGATTCATCAGAAAATGGCAAAAGAATGTACTGTTTTAGAAAGAAGAAAAAAAGTATGCCAAGCTCTTGCCCAATATACTTTTTTCCCTTTTTTGCCGCCGTTTAAAAATCGAAATATAATTAGGTTTGCACGCAAAAAGCTTTTCTCTTTCTTTACAAAAAAACGATAAATGGAAAACCGGCTGCTCTGTCAAGCATATGATAAAAAAGATTGAGAATTGTAAAATGATTATTTGCATTTAGAATTAGCAAATGAATAGACCTGGGTACCAGGGTAGATCGACAATAGACACCGACGGGTAGATTTCTACTGATGCTGATTCAACATTTTATTTTTTCAATTTCATATTCTATACTTCAATTCAATTTGATTTGAAAATTCCGCTTAACTTGACTCACTGACTAGTCAAACAAATTACACAATAAATTGTACTCTCCGACTACCTTTTTATCTTCTTTTTCCATTATTTTTTGCTCTTTCTTTTTACAAGGTTTTTGAGACGAGTTCGGAGAATTAAACCTGCTAGCAAGTTGCAACCGCAAAGAAATGAGTAGTCTTATTCTAGGGCACTAACTAGTCATTCAGTGGAGGTGTCAATGGAGACACCTGCACAACCAGAGAACACCGGTTTATCAATAGATGAGTGTATAAAACAAAAAACTTTTGAGCTAACATTGGCAGCATCATTTCTAGAAAAGCCATTGAGGTGCACCAAAAGCGCACCTGCACCGGTGTTTAAGTGTGTATTTAGCAAAAAAATACTAACAATCATCAATAATCAAACACAGACATTTGCAAGAAATGCTGCTGCAGAAGCAACAGAATTTAAGGGTATCACAAAATGAACCTATTGAAAAGGGGGCCATAATTCGCTGAAAATTGCCTTCTCGGAAGATGAACAAAACCAAACTGTCCGAGAAAAACTGGTGATTTGTTTGCTAGCTGCCTATGCAAAAAATTATATAAAAGGAAGATAATGAGATTCGCTATTCGCTTTTCAAAACTTGCAACATTTTGCAATGCTTGATTTATCGCTCACAACGGTGCTGGCCTCAAAAGAAACAATAGAACACAAAGGCAGCAAAAAGTAAACAGAAAGGATCACTCATCGGCTTTTAGACCCAAGTGTATCCAAACAAACAAACAAAAAATAAGATAAGAAAAGCACTGACCTTGGCCGAAAGAGGGTAGGCGCAAAGATGATGCCAATGGCGGCGGGCGTCATGTGATTCTGCGAGCTGTAGGCGGCGATGCGATTCAGGTGGCCGAACATGTGGCGCATGGTGGCCAGCCGGTGAGGCGTCAGCTTGCTCACACACAGCCGCATCTGTCGGATCAGCTCGGAGTGCTCGGCGTCGCCGGTGAGGACGTAGGCGTCGTCCTTGAGGGTGCCCTCGTGGCGGAACACCCTGCCCACGTCAATGTACAGCTTGTAGATGCTGTTCGGCACCAGGGGCTCCTTCAGCTGAAGTGGGTAGAGTGAGTTTAAAAGTGGTTTGTGATTTGAGTGCCAATTGCCATTTAATTAAAGTTCTAGTCGATCAAGCCACACCAAGGGGGTGCCACACTTACCTCTCGCAGGAAGATCTTCAGCACCGAGGTGATGTCATTGGTGCTGACGTCAATCAGGTCAATGAGGTGGGGGCCACTTTCGAAGCTCTTCAGCAGCTTCTCGACACGCGTCGCCACGCCGGACATGCGGTAGATGCCGGGCCGCTTCAGCGACCGACGCTCAATCTCCTCGGTGCACTTGCGCACCAGAATGGGCACCATCTCGTCCTCGGGCAGCGACTCGATGTCCTTGTTGAGGATGCTGCACTTCGGGCCCAGGGGGGCGTGCGGACACATGATGGTCAGCTTTTTCAGGCATTTCTTGTGGCAGATCAGCTGACACTGCGTGAGAAAGTGAGACAGCGTTAGAGGGAGGGTGAGGGTCATTGTCGTTGTTTTAGTGGCTGGCTGTGTTCAGGTGGTAAACAACAACAGCTGACGCAGATCAAAGCAAAAAGTTTTGTAACACGTTTTGATGAACAGCTGATCCGCACACTGAGATGACAGTGAACTGCGAACCGCTAATAAAAATTCTCTTTATACACTTTTTCTACTGCTCCGGTCGGCGGAATGAGAGCAATTAAAGTCGAATGTACTCTCACTCACTAGCTCGCTTGTTGGGAACAGTGGTTAATGAGCAGTGCCTTCAGAGTGGGAAAAGACTGCACAATGCACTCGTGGCCAATCAAAAAGTCGTTATCTGCCTAGCCGAATTTCCCGCGAGTCGTGAAACAACAACAATCCAACAACTCAAAACCGTCTCCCGAACTACTACCACCACACACACACTTCCGCAGAGGTACTTTCTCTCTTTTTTAACAACTAGCAAATATGAATGTGGTTCAACCACCACCACTACGTTTGCTCTCTTTGTTGAACTAACAAAGCCGAAGCGGACGTGTACGTGCACAGCCCAGCTCAAAAGTGGCAGTGGCAGTGAAGAGAGCAGCAACACACACACACAAACACGGACTTTACATTGTTCCGGTAATTAATAATGAAAGACTGCCGCCACTACAACTGTCAGCTGTTGTTTTGTGTTCAGTCAGGCAGCCCTTACAATGTGACAATTGTTTTTCAATTCTTCTCTTTCATCATCTGCTTCCTCTCTGATCTTCTCAATGAGAGAGAAAGAGACTTGGTTTGGCTCACTAGGCTCACCTGACGGCAGTGGGCCATCATCATTCAGAAAGAAGCACTACTCAGCACGCAAGTCACATTGAACTTGAACCAGATTTCAGGCGATTGCACTTCTGCCAACACAGACTGCAGTAGCAACAGCAACATGAAAACAGCTAAAGCGATAATAATGCGCCAAAAAGAAGAAAAAGTGATAGTCCTGCTGTAACTGTACACTCGGCGGGTAGCAGTACGACAACCATTTGTCAGCAGAGAGCAATTCTCCTCTGCCAGCTACTGCACACAAGTGCAACAAAAGTAGTTGTCACTGTCCGTTCTGGCTGACTTTCCTCTACAGGCAGCGGCGTCGCAAAATGTTTTCTGAAAAAAGCTAACACTTTGCTGAAGGTAAAAAGGAAAGAGAGTGAGAGAGAGGCCATCAATTTGGTGGCAGGCAGCAATTTGCCTCATGGCGCTCACTTTTCCTCCACGGTCTTCTGCTTTCTCTTGGTTATCGGTTGTACACTCAATCAGCTCACTCAATCAGCTGCTGCTGCTGCTGCTGGAGAAAAAGCATTTTTCCTCAGTGTGCAACTCAATTTAGCCATGCTACTCATAGGCACCAATTTTTTCACCTTTTTTTCTCAGATCTGCTGGCTTTCCTTTCCACTGCCTGATGATGCCTACACTGGTACTTACGGGCAAATGTCACGACGCAGTGTCTGCAGACACACGCCAGATTGTCTGCCTATGTCTAACGGGCAAACAAAAGCTGATGCTAGTGCTGGTGCTGTTGGTACAACTACATTTGCATATACCAACACACTTGCACATTTTCTGAGCAAGCTTTCCAACAGGAGGAAAAGATTGCTGCCGGCAAACACTGCTGGTGGAACAAGGCGAGTACACACAAAAGAAGCAGCAAGCAGCCAGCTAGACATTATTTAAATATCGGCTTTTTTGTACAAATCATTCACCACTCGGTGAAAAAGAGAGAGTAAAAACTAGATAAATTGTTCCTTTTTCTGTTTCCTCCGCTTTTTGCAAAGCGTACACAAAATCAAATTTGCTGTAAGCAGAAGGAAGGGTGCACAGCTTTCTCTTGCACACCAAACTCTGTACTAGGGCAGCTTGTGCACCACCACCACAAAGAGCATTACATGGATCAATTTGTCGACGACTTTGACCTTGTGCCATTTAGTAGCGAGTGCGAGCACTTGACAAGCCTGTGCAGCGGCGACAAAAAGATGATGGCGGGGGTAATATTAAATTATACTTAGAACAGATTGAGAGAACGGAGAAGAAAAGAACATTAGGTGGAAAAAAGAAGAAGTGAGAACGGGAAGCTGTCGACACGGGTTTCAGCTGCTTGAGAAAGCAAAGCTTCGGGTACGCCGTTCCCAAGTACAGCAGTCTGAGCCTGTTTCATTTCAGCGTTCTCCTGAAAGCATTTCCCCCATTTAACTGGCAGGCATTTTCTCTTTTTCCATGCCATTCTCTTCTTCCCTTCCCTTCCCTTTCACTTGTGCTCACCTTTTTTCAGTACCGCACTGCACTGCACTGCACTTCATCGTTCATTCATTCTCCAGTGCCCAAAAACTTAGCAATTTCAAACTTTTTTAAAATCATTTTCAGCACACTTTTCATGTTTACTACTCCCGCTAGCGCCGAGGCATTCGTCACTTTTCCTCTTACTTTTTTCCTGTCTTATTTTGCAGTGATGCGGCACACACACACATGCACATAGTAAATCGAGTTTCAAGCGCGCATTATTAAATTGTCGTTTCATCGACGGGAAAGAAAGAAAACTGGAGCAGGCGCCAGGCCACTGGAATAGTTTGATTATGCAATTCAAATTGGGTATACTAACCGAAGTTGGGGAGGAGAACCTGTGCTGAGGGGAAACTCAATTGAAAAAGGTAAAACTCAGAAAATTACTGATGAGTTTGCTACCCGTGTACACAAACTGAGCCAATAAGGCATGTGTTTACTAAAAAGGACGTGAAGATGCAAAGATGCTAAACAGTGATAAGCACACATAGCAAAAAAATCAAACGACAAAAAGTCAGTTTTTCCATCTTCTTCCACGAATCGATTAGTGGAGCCCAAGTTTGCACAAAAGCATGCAAAAATTCTGTCCCAGCACCGTAATAACAACTTTTGCACACGCACACTACAGCAGAATGTCCACGTCAAAAATTGTAGGAGAAAAACAAGACAACAATCTTTTGGTTGTTAGTTGGCTGCACAGCCATTCATCAAACAACACTTCGGACAACCACTGCTTCTGGTGAAACATTCAATTTCCTCGCTCACATAGCACATCCCCTCAATCGATCTCCCAGCTTTCTCTCTGCCCAGACAGGACAGACTACCGACTAAGACATCACTCCTCTTTAGTATAAAAGTCAGTCAGAGTTAGAGTGAAATACTGTGTGTGCCTCACTGCCAAACTGGCTGACTGACACACACACAAACACACTGAATGTGTCCGCTAATTGGCATCGATCAGAGCAGAGAAATGGACGGCCAAGGGGAGCAAGGGGACCAAATAGAAAAAGGCAAGAAAAACAGGGCCAAGGCAATAATGACTTGCAAATTAGTACTAGGCTGGGCACAGAGAGAGGGTACTGCACAAATACAGATGCTGCGGCTGCCACTGCTTGAGCAATCAATCATAATCAAAGCTTGACAGTAGAGACAACTGGCTCAAGGCTATAAATAGACCGACGCCGATCAAACTTCAAGTAACTGGTTACTCCGAGTTGGGCTGCCTTCCGAGCTGTTTTCCAGCGTACAAATAGTAGTACTCATCTGTCAAATCTACTGTACAGTTCAGAATGCAGGGGAGCACCACCTGGTCCCCCAGCTCAAGTCTCAAATGAAGGTTAGTATGTGCGTAAGAAAATTATACTGATTAGGCTAAATTATTCAGCAGATGCAGATGCGACTTCCAATTAAACAATTATGCTGCAAAAATAAAAACTTTTTTGGAACTGTTTGATAGAAGTGTGCAATTTACTCAAATTCAATACTGATAATTACAAATGCGCTTCATCAATCTGTTTCAAGCGAGGTCGCTGCAGCGATGTCTCGGCTAAACCTAAAAGTATTGCATTTTCTAAGAGAGAAAGAGACTACTGTGTTTGCTCAAGTGATATTTTGCCTCCCTCCCTTTACAATACAGAGGTACTCCTTTTTCCCCTTTAGCAAAAACGCTCATATTTGCGTTNGAAAGAGACTACTGTGTTTGCTCAAGTGATATTTTGCCTCCCTCCCTTTACAATACAGAGGTACTCCTCTTTCCCCTTCAGCAAAAACGCTCATATTTGCGTCACCTTTGGCAAGTAACCGAAAGGAAATCGGCGGCAACTACCGTTTGGCAAATAATATATTTGCATTGCACTGACTTTCGCCTCTCGGTCGATTGGCAGATTAGATGATGAAAACATGGAGGCCAGGCGAGGCCAGACCAGTCGATGCCTTCCTACCAAACACAGAGTGGCCAATTTGGCAATTTGCCACTGCAACATCAGATGACAGTGAAAAGTGGCAAATGAAAGAGCGCCGGAGAAGACAGCGGCGGCAAACGGGCGATTATATTTGACGCCTAGTCCTTTTCGAGCCACTGAGCCATTTCCACTAAATTTTCCGCCGTTGATGGTGCTTTGCTGCTCGGCTGCTTTGCCAGCTCCAATGCTTTCTTCCAAGAAAAGGCAATATGTGGTGGTGGCAGTGCTGCTGCTGGTTCTACTGTTTTTTGCCTGCCAATTTGAGTGGTCATCGAAAAAAGAAGGACGTTCTACAAAGTCGGAGACCTTCTCATTATTTGTCTGCGTGGTGTGCGGTCGCAAATGTCATCCGCTGGAGAAGAAAAAACGCATTCTGTGCACAAAGCGGGCGTTCGGCTTTGGTGTTGTTTTATGCCAAAGTTCAAGTGCTAGCGCGCTTGCTGAACAGGACAGAACAGAGCGATCAGGAAAGAAAGCACATCACATGAGCAAGCTGCTGCTGCTAGCTGGCATCATCAAATTGGCATAAATTAAATTTCACTACACTACCGCTACAGTTGTTGATGCTGTTGCGGCGGGGCTGCAATTCAAATTAAATTTTTTACTCAACAGACAAAAACAGTTCAGCGCTGCGCTGAAGAAAAAAAAAGTAAAAGAAGAAGTGCATCACTATGGAAATAGTATTGAGTGCTCTCTCAAAAACAGCGTGAAAATGTCTAATGCTATTTGCTGAGAGATTTTCTCAATCATTCACTTCACTTTCTTCTCCCATTCTAGTGCCTGCCAGACACTTTAAAGGCACAATCGAATTATCAACAGCCGACGATGACAAAGGCAGCCGACGGAAAAGAGAAACTGGAGAGAGCTGGGGCGGTGGAAATTGATTTTCCTATTGACTGTGCTACCCAATACTACACAATTCACCTGAAGCACATCCCCCTTTCTTCTCTACACTTTCCCACTTGAAATTTAATTTAAAAACCATCATTTTCAAAAAGAAGCAGAGAAGGAGAGAGAGATAAAAAGTGTCATCAAACTACAACTAAAAAATCCCTATTCCCTTTGTAATAGCCCAAACCCTCTTACCTGGTTACACTCGCATCCCCAGAAGTAGACGTAGGTGTCGCACATGTGACAGCGGCCGTAGTTGGTCGTCTTCATGCGCTGAAATGAGTGGGACATCGCCGCTCGGCTCATCTTCTTCTTCTTCCTCGCAGCGGCCGCAGAAGCGGAGGATGAGCCGCCTTTAGATGAGGTACCACCACCACCTCCTCCTTCTGCGCCGTCAGCTGCCGTGCAGGAGAAATATGTTAGTTACCGGATAACGGATACATTACCGACCAACACATTTCACCGCACTTACCACCTCCGTCTCCTTCTCTGTCCTTGGCTGAGCCCCCACCGCCTAGTCCGGCCGCCGAGCACGCCATCAGACCGTGGTGGTCCTTATCACTGCCACTGCTGGCGGCTGCGGCGGCGGCAAAGGCTGATCCAAAGACCAGCTGCTGAACGGTGCTCGACTGGACGTACTCCTCCGTCTGCTTTGCCTTCATCGCCAACTTCCGCGACTGCATCTCCGCCGCCTTCGCAGACGACTTTGGACTGGCCTCCGGCGTGTAGAGCGAGTGCGAGTGCAGGTGGTGATGGTGGCCATGGCGGTCAATGTTGTACGGGTCAATGTTGTCGCCGGAGTGCGTCGACGCCGAGGGGCTGGGCACCGGACTGCGCTCGTCCTCAGTGGCCTCATCGGCGGATCGGGCGCTCCAGCTGGAGCTGGCCGAGTCAGATTCGCTGCTACGCGTCACCATCGGCAGCGGGAGGCTCCACTTCTTTGCCTGAGCATTGCCCAGATGCATCTCTTCAACTGAATCAGAATTAGAAAAATGGTAATTAAAAAGGAAAACTCTACAAATCTGTAATCATACCTTTTCCAACCATTCCGCCGCTGATGGAGTCTGTCTCCGAGTCGGAGCACACGCTCGGCTGGCGCTCTCGATCAATGGACCGCTCCTGGCCGCGTCGCTTTGAGTATCGCGTCCTTAGCTTCCAGCCGGTGGTGGTGGCCACAGTGGTGTTCTTGCCGCTGGCCGACTTGCGCGGACTGACCAGCGAGCCGATGATGGAGACGTTGGAGCCGGCCGGCGAGTTGGCCATCGACCGGCTCAGAGCCATGAAGGCGCTCTCCTGCGGACAGAGGTACATCGGCGAGTAGCGGACCGTCTCCTGTGGCTGGTACTGCGACTGGTCGGTGGTAGTGCCGCTGTTGCTGGTGTTGTTATCTCCTCCTTTAGCCGAACTCGTCGAGGGCGCTTGGCTTTGCTCAGAGGAGTAGGTGGCGGCAGCGGTGTTGGCGGCCGACGTCGTCGTTCCCGGTGATGATGCGGATCGCTGGCCAACCGAGTGGTAGTAGTTTGAAGAGGTGTTGTGGCCACTGCTGCTGTAGTAGGGGCCACCACCACCTCCCGAATACTGCTTTCCATAGCGATCGTCGCCGTAATCACCGACCGCCTCATTGTCCAGTGAGTCAGCAAATCGAACCCTTGGATTGCCGCAGCTGCTGTAGACGTCCGCAGCCGTGGAGATGGAGATCTGTGAGCTGGTCATTGAGCCGGCGGCAGAGTCGCCTCCCCCTGAAGAGTGGCTGTTGCCGCCTGAAACCGCCGAGGAGACGCTGATAGTCGACATTTCTGCTCTCGTGCTATTTTTTCTTTCTGCTGCTAAAGCTTTTGAGGTGCTCACAAAACTGATGTTATTGTTGTTGTTGTTTTTGATGGTTGAGGCTGGCTGGCAGATGCGTAAAATGGTGCGTTTCTTTAGTGGTACAAAATACCGTCAGTTAGTTTTTTTTGTTTGGTAGCAGTAAAGAACATAGACAAAACAAAAAACAAAGTGTGCAAAAACTGGACAAAACAAAAACAATTATTAAAAGACAAATGCCTTTTGATTTAGCCTAAACAACAAAAGCACAGTCACGAGTCGCTTTTGTTGTNTAAAAAACAAATGCTTTTTGATTTAGCCTAAACAACAAAAGCACAGTCACGAGTCGTTTTTGTTGTCAACAATTTGTGGTGGACAGTCGCGATTTTTAAATTAGATTACTTTTTACAAAAACAAGCCCGCTTATTCTTCCGTTTCGTTTTTTGTTACTGGCCTTTTTGGGTTTTTATTGTTATCGTCAGGGCTATTAGTTAGAAAGCGTGTGCTTCAGTGTGCTAAAGTGCAAATGTGGTAGGGTGCAATTCTTTTGTTTGCGCAATATGGCGGTAAAATGCTGTTGTTGCTTTTGCTGTTGCTGTTGCTGCCTTCCTCTAGAAGAGAAACATCGGCGGTGGCAATGAGAGTGCAAGCTGGAGATGGCTGCAGTTGCCTGTTTGGCCTGCTGGTTAAGAAGTGGAGAACACTGTGCTGCTGCAAGTGCTGCAAGTACCCAATTGATTAGTGCTCAAAACAGCCGTATAAAACAGGCAGGCAGACAAGCCAGCACTACAAAAAGGCATTTTATTGCCTTAGACTAAGAGGAGTGCTAGTTATCTAGGCAATAGCAGATAGTGGAGAGACATAGCCTATGTCACATAGGGGACAACTACAACAGCGACTATCTGATCAATGGAAACGATGGAAGAAGAATGACACACATACACTCGACACTATTCTCACAGCATTTATACACTAAGAGGATCAGGGGTGCGCAGATGAAGGACAGACTCACAAGGCAATTGCAGCATGCAAAGTAATTGCTGAAATCCTCTGCTGATGAGACAAACAACTGTCTCCTCTCTCAACCCTTTCAGTGCCTTCGTTTCCTCAATTAAATGTCATCTGCCATAAATCATGAAAGTAGTTGCATGAGCTCAAACTGAGAGAGGCGCCCAGTTGTGGCCCAATTACCCAGTGACAGTAATCTGCCAATAATCAAGAGCGGCAGTAAACAGTGCATACTGACACAGAAACCGGGCAATGCAAAGCCAGGCGCAATGAGGGCTAAGCTAGGCAGTTTTAAAATAAAATACGCAAGTCTCTCCTCAATGCTGAACACGTCTGTGTGATGAACTGTGCAACGCTGCCTTTCTGAATCTAATTCTCCTCTCTTTTGAACGCAATTTGCCATTTAGCACAGACGCACATTAGCCTCCTACACATCTTATAAGAGAAAAAAGAAAGTAGTCGAGAAAAGATCACGACCGGCTGCCCTTTTCTCTCACCAAGTCTTTGGCAACACTTAGCACACTAGTGTGAGATAAGAAAAAAAGATTGCAAAAACGGCAATGAAGCAAATTTTAAGAACAATTTATCAAACTTGCTGCTGCACAAAGTTCAAACACACAGGCTGCTAAAGGCTACCGAAATGCCAAGCTCGAGTGAATCATCGATAAAATGCCGCTGTTGCCTTCTTTTTTTCAACCAGTCTTGCTGCCTATCTTTTTGAAATAAAACACTGCAGTGCAGTTTTTTACTTTACTCAGGCTCGTTAATGCGGTTATTTGCGCATTATTTTCTGTAATTAAGAGTTCAATTAATAATATTAATGAATCACATAGTCAAACACATCACATCACATCAGAGCACACCATGGCCATCAAACATCTCGCAGTTTCATTAAATTTGCATTCAAAGTAGTAGTGAGCCATTACTGAGCAGTATTAGGTACTGCTATTTTTTT